GTAAATTACCCTCGCATTAACACGCGCGCCTTTTTACTCGGCTTCGCCTCGTATATACACCAGGCGCTCGCTTGCTCCCTCGTAATGATGAGAAAGTCCGGTATTCGGAGGCATTGTATGCATGACGGTGCCTTCTCTTTCATTCTTCTGCAGCTCTTTCTTGCTCTCTCTCTCTCTCTCTCTCTCCCGCGCGTGTGTGTACGACTTTCTCACATTGCTGGAATCTCTTACAACGCGCGCACGCACTCGCACGATACAGTGCAGCTTGACCGTGCGTTGCTGCCACCGCAAGCTCGCACTTGAGACGATTATTGCCCGCGTGTTAAATTTTAATTGATCTTCAGCCTCATTTTCTTATTTACATTTTAATTAATTCAAAGGAATTCGATGCCAATGAAGGAGAAAAACGTGTTGCATACTTGACAAGTGCTGTTCACGAACACGGGACTCTTAAGTCCTTAATAATTATCAATTTGCTTTCACAATGAGAACCGGCGAAAGCTCCAAATTCAAACGTTCTACTTCTTTCCGATCAGGACATTCAATCTTGCATGAACTTTAAGCTCTGTTAAGTTGAATTTGTTTCTATTACTTGATATTCTTGCTTGTGCTGTCTTTTTCGGTACCAATCTACTCAGCCTACATATTGTTAGTCATGAATACTTTTGCGACAACTGTACCTACATTACAAAAATCTTATTCCATTATATTGTTTGAATGCGTCATTCTCTCTCTTTCTCTCTGTTTGTTCTTCACATTTTCAAGTTGTTACCCTTGCGTCATCTCCATATGCTCCACTAAACGCATATTTTATGGAAAAGGCACCCCCCATCGAGCATAACTTTGAAAAAATATCTAGTACGCGCGCGCATGCCGATACATCCCCTCGACTCGCCCTTTATTTACGTCGAATCACATCGAAGTCACGCGTTGCGAATCTTCTCGCTCGCTTTCTCTCTCTCACTGGAATCAACAGGTGTGATAGAGAGAGAGAGAGAGAGAGAGAGAGAGAGAGAGAGAGAGAGACGTCAAGGCAGGATATCCGGCGCCTAAAACAATCGGCTCGACCGCCCCCGCGGCTCGCACTTAATCAAGAGCCGCTGCAACGGAAGCGCGTCGCGAGCGAACGCGATGTGTACAGTCGGGCAGGCAGCGCACGTGCACGCGCAGCAAGGAGAATTCCGAAAACTATCGCTACGGCTCTCTCGCTTTATAACTCGCGCAGCAGCGGCCGATCGAGCGCCCAGATAAATCTCGACTCGCGCGCGCGTTCCCTTTCGGCTTCCTTTCATGCCGCGCCAAACATCCTTCTCTCGCCGCGCGCGTATGCGTGCGCGTTTATATACTTGTTGATTTATTGGGATGTCCACCCGCCCGACCAGAGAGAACCTCGCTCGCGCGCCCGCGGTTTTGTCCTGCGGCTAAGCGCCTGCCTCTCCCTTTTATACTTGTGTGTGTGTGTGTGTGTGTGTGCGTGCGCGCGCGTGTGTGTGTGTGGGTACGCTCGCTTCTTCTCCTTTGACCGCGCTGCATTTTTTCCCCGCCCTGCCACGCGGTTTATTACCCCCGTGAGTTGTGTTTATTAATTAAAACGCTTCTGTGGATGAAGTGGTCGTAATGAAACTTTCAGCGGAGTGACTTATCGCCGTCGGCCTTTTTCCCCGGCAAAAAGTCAATCGTTCCCTCGCTGCCCCGCCGCGGATGCATCGATTATCGCCGAGACATTCAATTAGCGACATTCGAACGGCCGTTTCCCAGAGTATCACGCGTGGTACTCCGTCTGATGCCACGGATCTCGAGCGAGCGGCAAATGCCGCGACGCCGCTGCGAGGAGACATAATAATAATCTAACGATCGCATTATCGAGGAAGAAGCGAAGGCCCCGTCGAATCCTCCTGACAAAAGACTCACGCTCGACCGATCATTCGAGGTCACTGATTCACAATACGCGCGCGTGTTTCAAAAGCCGCCTACCTCGCGCGCAAAAAGCCGATCGCTCGCGCGCGTAAAAGAGAGATGGAATATTAAAGTGGTGCGGCGCGTCTCTACGTGCACAAGCCACGTGGAGCTATACTTCGCCTTTGAAATTCAAATCAGCGCTGACGCGAGTACGACGACGCGTAGCTATACGCCGAGTTTTCGTCTCCTTCCTTCATTGACCTCCCATAGGTCGCATTTGCATTGATGCCAAATGTGATCGGGAGCCCGATGTCTGCTGCGCACGGCTTCTGCTCGCGTGTACTTGCTCTCCGTTGCGCATAGATCTCGTTGATATTTTTTTTGCAAATTCGTTTTCGTCAACCAATTGAAATTGTCTTGCCAAAGCCATCAAATGTGTACCTGTGTACCAAGCTATGGCTTTTGAAAAGTACACTAATCGTATGTCTGTCGGCAAACTCGCGACTTGACGCGCTGTCAACCGAAGCAGAAAGTCCCAGCAAGTATTCCGATTTGTAAACGGCATTCTGCCGAAAGAAAGCGGTACTCGGATGGTATAACAGCAGCGCAGAAAGTAAGCAGTCATGATATAATTATTCAGGGCGCTATGAGCGTAGTCTCAGCGGCGCGCCGGTCGCGCAGAAAATAGGAAGTGTATTCCTCATTCATACATTCGTGACTAGTCCGCGCTCCCTGAATATAGGTATGTATCCGCGTTTTTGAGCCTGGGGTCGCTGCTGCCACACGATTCCATATAGTCGCGCACGTCTTCCGCTCTCATTGAACGAGAAACGCTTTGAAGGAGAGACGCAGAGCGGGCCGTATCTCATTCTACGGATCTTGGCGCGCCCGCGCGCGCGACACACACACACACAGCCAGCGCTCTTTTAATCCCGATCCACGGCTCGTCTTTCTCTCTCATTAGTCACGCCGTTCTCCGATTTCCTCGCGCGCGCGCCTCCATATCCTCCGCTCTCCCGGCTCGGTCACGAACTCGCCTAAGCGACGCCCTGCTTACTCCGATATCAGCGCGGGCAAGCCTTTCCCTTTTCGTTCGCCCGAGGTACGCGGAAAGCTCGATCGACGACCACTTTTCCAGCTTGCCCCGCGAACAACGGCGCACCCCGGACGCGTACGCAAGAGGCCCTCCTCCTCGATGAGTTTGTCCTTGTCCGCGCGCCTAACGAACTCGGCCTGCGGGGAGACCAGCCCACGCACGCGCCCGCGTGTAACCCCATCACGTGATCCTTGTTATTCGCGTGCACGCGCAGTACACATCGAGGACGTATATAGTCGAGCGAATTATGTAGATGCGGAGGGGATTTTTTTAGATGTGTACAAGTGCGTCGACTCGCCTGTGCCTCTGGGCCACGACGCGGGCGTACGCTTTGCCGAGAGCTTTCGATTCGTAGAGTGGCCCTCGTCGACAAGAATACCTACTCCACAAGTTTTTGACAATTTTTTTTTCGCTGTCGTTGTACTTCAGCAAATGACTGATTTCTACAAGTCGAGGCAGATCCGCCTTTTCTCTTTATACTGCGCGATTCGACAAATTTCAATAAGATTAACGGTGTGATGTTATTGTGCCAACTTTGTGAAATACATACTCGACATTAGATAGAGAAAATAAATTAATTATAATCATAGGAGCCGTCAAAAAAATAAGAGAATTAATCTAAATAAAGATAATGCCATTATCGCTTGGTACTCGTCCAAAGCCGAAGCACGCTAAAACAATCCATTTCGTTGTGTAGTCTTGTTATTTCAGTCGAAAGTAAGGACTTTATAGGTAAAAAACTTTTTTTACTATTTCCTCGAGAAAAATAGCACATAGATAATTTTCGCGTAAGCGAAAATAAAAAAATACCTATTTCTGAACAAGAATCCGTGCAAAAAGTCAAACGATTCATTTTTACGGTATTTCTGATTTGATGCTGGGTACTGTATTATTATATGCTAATTTTATGATAATGCGTTGGTTTTACGAAAAGAAATAAAAGATAAACTATAATCAACAGAACTATCGTCGACTACAAATGAGCAGAATGAAGATTCATGCGGCCTTGAAAACATGTACGTATACATATACAACGAATATGTATGTATATACAGAGAATATGCTGAGGACGACGAGGATAATAATATGCTGATAGATGGTGCAAATTTACGTGATTGCCACTAAAACAATATTCTCATATAGTTGTACACTGACCATCCGCCCTTAGAACATTTAATTCATTTTCCAGAAAAATTTGGATTGCGTAAATAATTTAATTACGCAAGAGATGAAAAAATAACGCGAATTCAGATGTATAAAGCAGTTTTCAAAATTCAACTATATAGGAAGGGTAAAAAGCGATCATAGACTTTAGAATTAGAAAACATAACATCAACGATCAGGCGGTCAACTATTGCAATCAATGCCAATGAAATCTACTTGTCATATGCTGAATAATTTGAATTGCTGAATTTAAAAAATTTTAATGTAAAGTAAATATTAAATTAGTTTATAGTTTTATTTATCATATCGCGATATCGAGAAACAAAGTGGCAAGACATTATTATTTATTAGTCGCATATGCTTATTTGAATAAAAATCAAAATATATTTCGTTTATTGTACAAAATGCGATTTAACTATATCTATAACAGTGCTATTTTGAAATATCTTCAGACAGATTAGTCTCGCTATGATAACCTTCATCGAATGTTCCGTCACATTTTTTGTTCCGCTGATCTCAATAAATTATAAGATAAAATATAATCTCTATGTTTATGTTTACACCTTTTATACACTATTTTGTGCATTAAAAATTGATACAAATGATTAACGCAAAATGAACGAAAAAGATTTTTTCGCCACGTCTTCAACATCAAGTATCAATGGAAATTTCCACGCGGCAACGGTCATTAGCTTATAACAAGCGATGAAATCTAATATAGCTATTTGCTGCACTTATGTAATATGTATTTGCCGTTGGAAATATATCTCTGATGGTATTAAGCTGAGTATCCAAGTAAATTGCGTCAGTCGAAGTTATCGGATCTTGCAGTTTCAGTCCACGATTTCCCTCTACTCTGGTAAATTCATTTTATATTATTTATAATTTTTTCCACTTATTAAATATCTGAATCGTAAATGATATTTTGAACGAGTGCTCAAATTAACCAATAAAACTTTATGCTTTTCATGATAGTTCATTTATCTGTAAGAACTCTCATACAAAGCATTAAAAATAAGACAATACACCTAATAAATTAATCAAGAAATAATTTGCTAAATCCAGTGACAGTTACCGAGTATAATGAGTTGATTAATCACAAACTAATTTGAGTGTCTACTTCCGAATTGAGCCAGCATCTTGCCATCCATAATTTAATAATTTGAAATAAGCTTCGATGTTCCGATATCAATATTTGTAATCACTTTTTATAGTATCGAAGGATGTTTGCTCCGAAAACGTTAGCGCTACTCGCGCTCACCTCGGTATGCCGTGCAACTGCTGAAAGTAAGACAAGATACGACTTGAAAGAGAGTTTTGATAATACTATCGTTACTGGTGACTTGCATAATTCTCTTATGAGTTATATCGCATGCGACCGCTACCTGGGGAAATCGGAAACTGGACGGCTTGCCAAGAAATGCAACGTCACGCATGGAAAGGTGGACGAGAAGGGAGAAAAGAAAACGTGCAACTTAGAATTTACAGAGACCATGGCAGCAACCAGTTTCGCTATCCACGCCATATCCATGGATAAATCTGTTGTCGCATGGATCGATGAAGATACCAGCAAGGCACGCTACTTACTCAAATTCAGAATCGTCCATTTTCCTAATTGCAATACATCCGAGGCGAAGATTGATTTTGAAAATCACAAGTCTCTGTTCAATAGCATGATACGATACGAGAATGCTTTCGTTCTTGGCGAAGATGGTACATTCGATGTTTTCTTTGAAAATTCTAAATATTGTTCCGACAGAGTCTGTAAGCTTAGGCTCAATGCGCAGGCTGAAATTATCAATGGGCCTGCTGCGGCCTATGAGCCTATCAAGAGGTTATACGACGCGAGCACAGAATTGAATCTGGTGGACAACACTTACGTCGTTTATGAGTCACGCCGCGACGACACCGGTAGAATTTCCTTGATCAAACCCGATGGTAAATTTCATGGCTGGCTGGCTGGCTGGCTGGCTGCAAAAACGTTCATTTGTTTATTACTTTATTTATTAAGAGACATTTCGAACTTTAGGGCGGACAATCCTTCAAGAGGTTGGGACTGAAAGAACTGACAATAACGACGTATCAAATCTTGACAAGAAAATTCGCGTGTGCAAGACAGTTGATAACGCGGAGATCGCTTGTGAAGTGTTCAACGCCAAGGGTGAATCCGTATCGAAAACCAACGTCAACATTGGATATAAGTTTAACAGCTTTACGTTGTTCAACTTGCCAAATGGTGAATTCGTTTTGGAGACTGGAACTAGGAAGCATGCTCATGCGACGAAAGTTGGAGCCGACGGTAAGCGTATTGGCGCTGTTAAACTATCAAATTACATCTGTAAAGGAGTAGCAGCGACTACCATTAAGGACGTTTACGCCGAAAATAATCAACTTTGCATGGCCAGAATGTGCTATAGTGATGTGCGTATTGATGTCGTTCAAAAGTGTTACGACAATGAAGATTTCAAATAAATTCAAAGATTCTTAAATAGCCGACTGCTTGGATTTCTACTTTTAATCACGAATCAAATATTAAACTCGTAGGATTTACGTAATTTACTAAGAAATAAGCTATCATTTACAGCTGCTGTGGTTTTTTTCCATTCTCTCAAATAACATAAAATATTGATCGGGTCTTGTTAGAAATTCGAGTAAATGGATAACCATGGTAGACTAGACTTAAATTTTGCGATTTCATGAAATTGTAATATTTCTCGCTGTATGCTACGTAAATATGCTTTTATTCATTTCCTACTAAAGTCATATTATGATTGCGTTTTTTGGAAAACAATAATCTCTATGAAAATAAATTTATAATTTCTTAAAATCGATGTATAGCACGCTCCAAAATTAGACATGTTTAAAAAATCTTCTATTTCATATGTAATCACTTTTAATTCAGATTATACAATAAAATCGTGAAATGGTAGACAGTGTCTAGCAGGAAAAATATTGTTATATATACGATAACCTTCTATTAATACGTTTCGATAAAAAGTATGTCTTATCAAAAGGGGAAACTTATGACATAACTAAAAGAAAAGATTTCTTATCGCGCATGATAATAAAGTAGTCTTCCATTTGTTTTATTGGCTTAATTTTATATTCAAACAATGGAGGAATGTAATTATTCTGGAGAGTATATAAGTTGTATAATAACTTAAAGAACGTTAGTTCAAATTTTGGATGTCTTTGGACTATAGCGAAACCATTCGAAATCTGGTAACTAATTTACCTCAATAATTATTCCGTATTAGTTTCTATTTGAAAAATATTACTTTACAAAATTTGTAAGATAGTATTCGGAAAAAACATGTGATAAAAGGTCATTTTACTTCATTTACACACAGTTACAGTGGTACCAAATGATCTACTTCATGAAAGTGTTAGCGCTGTTCGCGCTTATTTATCTCGATGTTAAACTGGCTGAAAGCAAAACAGTATTCAGTAAAAGTCATAAATTCCCTAGTGCCACAACATCAGGAAACTTGCTAGAGTCTGTGGCAAGTTATGTTGTATGTAACGATGTTGAAACATCTTCGAATGGTGTACATTCCAGAATATGTAGCATTACACATGGAAATATGACCGAAAGAAATGAATTATCGACTTGTGATATCACCTTTCAAGGTAAATTCACTGATAGTTACACGATGCATGTTCTTTCTGCGGATCTAATGCTGGTTGTTTGGTGCGACGACGACGACAAAAATACCGAACATCTACTTCGTTACACTTTCGTTCATTTTCCTCTCTGCAAGACTGCTGAAGCTACAATCGGTTTTGATGATCACGAAACTCTGTCATATAGTATTAGCCATTATGGAGAGGCAATTACTTTCAATGAAAACAGCACATACGATGTTTACTTTGAAAATCCAAAGTTTTGTGGCAAGAAAGTTTGTAGAATGACTATCGATTCACAGGGAAAGACTGTTAAAGGACCCGTACCATCGTACATTCCTAGAGATAATCCGATGGTACTTACGGAGAAGATGCCAGGGAATAAAGGCGTTTTAATAGCTGAAGTAGGAATAGACACTGAAAATACTAGGATTTCTTTGCTCACGCCCAACGGTATAAACTTCAATGATACCTTTTCTTGAAATTACATTTACTTCACTAATGACCTTTTCAACTACGAATGTTTCCAGGTTTAAGAGTATTGAAAGAATATCCAAACGACCAGTGGAAAAACAACGATTTCGCAATTTCTGGTGGAATGATATATAGTTGTAGTCACAAAGGCCATATGCAAATCGAATGCCAACTTTTTGACGCCAGTGGAACATCTTTGTCGAAATACGATTTGGATATTGGCAGCCAAAATTTTGACAAATTTGCTACGGCCAATGCGCCCAACGGTGGAATTTATTTGTTGACTGCAAGAGAAAATACACTTCGCAGTAACCTTACAAAGTTTGACGCCAATCATCAACGTCTTGGTACTGTTGGATTACTTGAGCTTACGTGCGATTATGATAAAATTTCTGTAAAGGTATTGTATGAAGAAAATGGTCAAAACTGCGTCTCTAGTATGTGCTATGATAAAGAACACGTCGAACTTTCAAAGAATTGTTATGGTGACGAAGAATTAAAATAACTAAATGTATAATTGATAAATCACTGTACATTAACAACGTCAGTATATTTCGATTTATAAATTTGTCTATTAAAATAAATTATTTTCATATATTTGGAAAACATTGTTTGAGCAAATGAATTTACATTAAAACTATGAAAATCCCTACCGTTATCATAAAATCGTAGTCTCATCACAGGTCAACAGGATCAACTACTTGTAGAAATCAATGATACTTAAAGCTTTCGTTTTGGAAAATAATTTAATGATATGCGGGACTGTATAGGTGAAAGTAAAGCCGACAGTAGTTCACGGTGACGACTTCCTTATCAAACTCGATGTTGTTATCCGATTGACGTTGACAAAGATGTTTCGAGTCCCTTGCCGAGACTGTGAAAATTCGTTTGATAAATTTAGGACGAACATCTTCTTACCCTGTCCAGTCTTTAGCAGACACTGATAAGAGCGGCAACAGCTAAGAGGTACGAACTTTGCGAAGCACTGCTTTGTATTCGACTGTAGTGTCGTCCGAAAACAGCTGGGAAACGTGACGATCGGCCCGTGCGCCTCTTTTCTCTGGGTGTGTGTTTGTTTTGCCTGAAATTCACGACGGCCTGGCTGGCGCTTGTCTCGTTTGGCAGCGTGCGCGACGCGACGCGAGGCGATGAAGGAACGTGACGAGAGAAATGCCCCGTTGCGTGAACCTAATTTACGAGTAAAATTAGCCTCGGCATTCATTCCACGAGCGCCTGCTTGCTCGTCCGATTGATGATCTGTTTAAATGAACGCGCAGCCGGCGCAAACGACTTTGCCGGCGACACTTTTATACGTCGTTTCTCGCGCCTACCCCTCCCCCATCCTCTTGTTTAGACGAACGCGCTCGCGCCTCGTCACTTTGCTCGTCTCATTTACATTCTCATTCACGGGTGACGCTTTCACAGCGCTTACCTCGAATATTTGGCTTTTCTCACGAGGTGCATCGAGGTCGATCGATAAGGCAAAAGCTCAGGGTGAGCATTCGCGTGGCCACTGTGACGTTGAAAGCTGCATGGAAAACCTTGTCTTTCCGCCTCCGGTCGAGGTTACAGCCGCGGTCGAGGCTGTCCGCGTTCGTCTGCGTCGACGAGTTCGTCGAGTGCTGGTCCTGAGTGCTTGGCAAGGCATCAGTCGACAAGCAGTCATAGCCGCTCGCAATTGCGTCGGAGCAATGTCCCAATGATGAATTATTGGCCGGCGAGGTCACGAAACGTCGAGCGGAAAAAAAGACGCGCGCGGTCGATCCTCCGCGAGCCGAATCGCATTACGCGCGGATGGTTTATTTTATTTTTTTCTTTTCTCTATCCTTTATTTTCCTTCTGCGCGCAAAAAAATAATGGCTAGCGGTAAAGCGGCAAAGAGCCGCCGCCACGCGCAACGAGCGATCGCGCAATTTGTCAGGTCGTCGACATTGGGAGCGAGAGAGCAGCCACATTAAACGCGGGAAAGGAAGCGCACTGGACACGCGTAGATCGCACGGCGAAATCTCGCGCGCGGGGGCCCCCCTTTGTTGCGCTGTGGGCGCTCATGCGATCCGTCGAGCCTGCAGATAACCCGCCGAGTCGTTCCGTCTGCCTCCAACACACTCCGAGGTGAGAATTGGCTGTTCCTCGGCTCGCGCGCCCACGAGTTGACTCCTTTGCCGGGGCTGCTCCGAGTCAGTCGGAAAGCGCGAGAACCCGTCAGCGGAAAAAGACAGTGGGATACATTGAGTGATCTATCGATACGAAGCGCGAGAAGCGAAATTATTGTTGTTTTATCGGTGCCGATGTCGTGCGTATCGACAGCGCGACGAATCCATACGAGCATTAGTATCGATCATTCTATGTATCAGCGCAGTGGTATTTCGATTGACACTCAATCATGCGTAAATCCATAGTTTCAATGGCGCGTGCTCATCTATATCAGGATACGGCGTGTACGATCGCAATAGACAAGTTACTAGGCTTTTTTATCTGTATAATAAAACAAATATACGCTGATTTTGTTCCAAAGCATGAAACCCTTAATTTTTCGTACAAACGACTGATTGACCTCTGCGGCGTGGGGTACCGAGCTCGCTCGTCTATTTGTCACGTGATTCGTGACACTTACCCGCTGAAAATTAGCGTAGCGTTTGGAAAATTATCCGCCATCAGCGAACTTTCCTCGCTGATTACTGCATATCGGCACGAAGTTATACACCAGAAACTCGAGCCGGCTAAAGCTACTCCTCCGCAAAACGGCTCCACTCGGCGTGCTCTCTTTTTAATCCTTCTGGGCTCCCTTTCCTCGGCTATCGGCGAATGGTGGACCGCCGGAGGCGAGGCGGCGGCGGCGGCGGCGGCAGCGCCAGCGAAATCGCGACGACGATCTTGCCGAGAGAGCCTGCAGCAGCTACTCGCGCACGCACGCACGCACGCACGCACGCACGCATGTACGTGTATACGTATATACGCGAAAGGGGAAGAGAAAGAGAGATGGCGCGGGCGCATTGCCGCGCGGAGAGGAAGCACACGAACGCACGCACACGCGCGAGAGGCTTATGCTGGCCGGCGCCGATCTCGCTCTCGCTGCCAACGCGCTTGTAACTCTTGCCGCGTTTCGGGCGCATCCGCCGATTTTGCGCGCTCGGCCTCCCGGGAAAGCTCGATCCGCTCGTCCCGACCGATCGGGAAACCGTGTCGCCGCTGCGGCTTTCCATTGCCCAGTCGCCCTTCGAGCGCACTGTATGCCGGGGCTCCATTAAAATTTTTATTCAATCGCATCGTAAGCTCGCCACTCGTAGGTGCACTCAGGACCGCTCCTCGAGATTTATCACCGTTACGGCGCGGAGAGTTTCGGCCCGACGCCGCCAAATAAATCTCTTGTCTCGCCTTTCCTTTCCTTTTCTTTTTTCCTCTCCCCGGCGCATAATGCTTTCATCTCTGGCTCGAATACTTGCCGATACACATATGCATGCAGCAAATACAGAAGAATAGAGATAAAGCGCTTAGAGGTAGAGAGAACCAGAGAAGTTGGAGTGTGTAAAAGGAAGTTGCAGCGAGCGAGACGAAGAAAGAAAAGGGGGATGAGACAGACAAGAGAAAAAAAGTTGAATGAGGAAACGAGTTACGACTCAGGCTTGCCAGAGCGAGAGAATTGAAAGAGCCTCTCTCTCTCTTTCGTCGTGTCTCATTGCCCCTCGGCGCGGAGACTCGCTGCTGCTGCTGCTGCTGCTGCGAGGGCTTCGATCGAGCAAGAAAATGGAGCCATCGCTGATAGAGGGAGAAATTACTTGAGTGAATTGAGTCATCGCTGGTCCTGGCATCCTAACTAACCTAACAGTTTCGCATCGCGCGGGAAGAGCTCGGCCGCCTTTTTCCTTCGCCTCGCGGCCTCCCGATTTTTTTTTCCGCGCGATAACTCTTTGCGCTCGCTCGCTTGCTCGTTCCGCCGCCGATCGATTGCTAGCCGCGGATCATTGTCCCTCTTTCACTTCCGCTCTCGGCAAATCACGCGGACCTCCTGGATTTCATAATAAAAACAAAACAGCGCGCTATCCTGTCTGCTAGATTTTTTCTTTTTCTCCATTGACAAAAACAACCTCTCCGTTTAGTCGGCCAGATGCCCGAACGACTGATAAGCTCACTGTCGAATGTGCATCGATTAAAATGTCTCAGAACGCATGTGTTAACCTGGTTCACTATCTATTGCAGACAAGTGCCGCGAAGAGGTGCACGTACGCGCGTTTCAACAGGATTTAAAAAAGGAAACCAAACAAACGTTAAAATTTTCCGAAAATTGGTGATTTCACAGCAGCCATTTATTGCCCTTTCTAACTGCAGAGATGAGTCACTTTGAACAATGTCCAAAGCTTGAATACAGTATACAGTAACTTTATGGAAATCAATCTGAGCGCGTCCAGTTTAATTTTCCAGTAGTCTCCAAACAATGCTGCCCCAAACAATCCGGTAACCATTATTCCTGTCGTGAAAAGACCTTTCGCTTTCACTACCTTCAAACTACAAAATCTCCAAATTCCCCAAGGTGATTCACTTTAATGACGACGTTTTATTCTCGCGCAAATCTCCGAACTGGTAATCCTGGTACGCACGGTGGATTACTCGGACGCGCCAGAGTGACAAGCGCGCATTAATAATCGGCCCATCCTGGGCGTTAAAGCGAGAGAGGCCGCGCGCGGTAGCCTTGGAGGCGCGCGCCACATAAAGATGGCGTCGACGCGCATAAATCTTTTGGAGAACCGCTCGGAGCGCGAAAATAAGTGCATCTGCGGCGCGTGTTCGTGAGATAAAGAGGCGCGTATTGTCCGAGCAAGCGAGAGAGAGAGAGAGAGAGAGGAGAGGGTGCGACGCTTAATTGCTCTCCGCGGTGCATCCAGCTTTTAAACCAGTTTTTACGCGCGTATCTTTCGTACTATTCCCATTGCCGCTTGCAGCGAGGGTTCCGCGAGTACAGTCGCGAGGCTTTGCAAGCTAGTGGTTGGATTTATAAACTGCGGCATCGTCCTGGGAGAGAGAGAGAGAGAGAGAGAGAGAGAGAGAGAGAGAGAGAGAGAGAGAGAGAGACAGTAAATTGTCAACATCGGCTCACCGCCGCGAGGAGCGAGAGAGAAACTCATCGCTCTCGGCTAATAACGATTTATGCATTTATGAGTCGGGCTTTACGAGGCGCAGTCCTGCAGCCGAACGAATCCGAGTCGTGTTTTATTTTCGATGATACGCGCTTCTTCGGAACGATTTCCCGCGATTTCGCCGAGTCAGCAGCGCGGACTTATCGCTCAAACGTTATCGTTCGTCCCGTTGCCGTCCAGCCTCTGCGGCGATAACCTAAATGGACGGTTACGTCCGGCCACGGCGGCACTCTGCGCGCGAGGCTGCTAATTGATGGCAGCTAATCCGCAGGCCGTTTTACAGAGGCGATAATTCACTCGGGCGGTTCGAAATCGCGACAAATGTTTTCGCTCGTCGTCGTCGTCCCTTTTCGCCCTCTCGTCGGCGTCTCGCATCGTGCCAATTAATATATCGGCAATGGGATCCTGGCGCACGGGCCAGGATTGCCGGGGCTGTCGTCGAGAGCTCGTTACGTAGGCAACTCACAGAGAGCCGACACGAGGCAAAAAGCGCTTGCGCGCAGAGGAGGAGCGCCGCTGCCGCGCCGATCGAGCGAGCAACGACAAAAAATGTCTTCCCGCGCGCGGAGAGTCCAAATAAGGAGGCTAGCTTTGCTCTCCGCCAGAGTAACCGCGAAAGTAAGTAGCCACTGCACACTTAGGCGGCGTTCCTCCCGCGGCTACTGGTTTTCTCTCTTTCTCGGCGCCGCTGACATTCCTCCTCGCTCGCGCTCGCGCATGAGCTCGTGTCTTGCGTGCGGATATACCGAACGACCAGGCACGATCAAATCTTAAGGAATGTTAAGTACCTGCTGAAGCCATTAATAATGCGTATGAGCGACAGGTAGCGATGAGCTCCTTTTGCAGACCAAGGTTGCAAACTTTTCTTGTCCAATTTCTATTCCAGCAAACACTATCAAATCGCCTATCCTTCCACGTCTTCAATCAACGTGAAAAATGCCAGACTATCCTAGTCATATCTGATTATCGGCAGTGACTAACGAAATCGACCATCAACTATACAAATATCGCTCAAATCTATAATTACTTTCTGGATTATTGCATACAAGTTTTTTTAGTAAACTTTAGCTCTTAAGTAAACACTTTAATTTCATTAAATACCGAGTGATATACCTCTATCTCAATTATTATTTACGGCACATCATTAATCAAAACAAATAGACTACTCGAACTAACAATAACATAACATGACAATAGCATCAATGAATTACTTAGAAATTTTATGAGTTTTCACGAACATCTCAGAAAGCGAAAATATCTATTTGAAATGTCAATCACGGATACTTATGCTGTATATAACTCACAAATATTTAAAAGTAATTCTTTCAAGATAAGTTAATTTTATAAGATTTTTCAAAAATCATTCAATTTTACACGTTCATAAATTCGTTTCAATCGTTATGCTTCCGTAGCTTATAATAATACACATATACCAAAGTTTAATACTCTATTATTTATGTGTTTCTGATACGCAACGAGTTCGAACGTTTCAGGACAACTTTATTTTTTTAAAAACTGTAATTAATGTATTAATATATTTAATACCGTTAAATTGTACAAGTATATTAGTGACCTCGATACGAGTCACGCTTTATACAAACATGTAGTTTACTTAATCATTATACGTTTAATTACTTATATACGTTATATGAATCAGCTTGTAATTTTCATGCGTCTACGATTTCCGAAAGGCTTTTTAAAAAAATTGCTAAATGAAAATAGTATTGACCGGTTTACTAAATTGACTGCCTATGTAACGATTAAGTTATCTGCGACTATGCATTTTTCCTCCTCGAAAAAATATCACTATTTGATAGAAAAATATCCTGTAACTATTGAACAGACCATTGAAATATAGAAATATCCGAGATCATGCCGTTTCTAATATATAGAAAGAATTATAAAAAAATCATTTTCTAAAATGTAAAATATATTTAAAAAAGCTTCTTATTATTTAGTATTCGCATTAAATCTATGGCGGACAGTGTGAGCGATTCAATAACTCTATAATGAAATTCTACAATCTAACAGGAAATGTATATTGATCGATATGAAATTGAAATCATCATAATTAAAAATTTATGCAGTGATAAAGCAAATATCTCTCTTGTTACTTTGGACTTTGTTACGTTTGCGACAATTAACTGTGTGAAAATAAAACAACGTTGGCGTAACGTTAGTATTAATAATTACCTCTATAAATACCATAGCTACGTACACATGTATAACATAAACGAAGCAATGGTACTAAGCCTAAAATCAAATCTGCAGACTAAATTGGTATAACTTATTATTTACGCATACGATTTCCACGCTTTAGGGCAACATCTTTTGTATACGAAAGATTTTATGAAATATCTCAGACTGGATCAACTTAATTTTTATGGAATAATCTGAATACGTGGATATTTCAGAAAATCCAAAATGAATAGCACAATATACAATATCACCGGTAGGTAGATCTTAAAATTGATAGAGCTTAAGTAAGTATTTAAAAAATTGGTACAATTTTCATACTCATTCGGGGTAAAAAACCTCACACTTATTACTACAACGAAAATTGGTGTTAATGATGTAAAGGTCGGCTCATTCAATGTGACTGAAATTGTTTGCTCAATAGGCGTTAAAAAATATGAACACAACGATAAGTATTGTGCATTGATACTTAGCTTCGGTATTAAAACAATAAAAACTAGAAGTCAATATTTCGAAAAAAAGATCTTATTCAAATGTAAGTAGTATAGCATCGATATTATATAGCTTTATATGTTTTATAAAACTAAGTTATTTTGTATATATCTGTAAACTTAAATTTATTACGGTACTTTAATATGCAAATGTATATAATTTTTCTCATTATTGCGTCACTTACGAATAGTATTAGACTTACAAGATGTAACTGCAAATGGAAATGTAATTCTTTACCACATTATCTTTTTAAACGCGACTTGTTGGGAATGGCATGTTTTTCCACTAAGCGAACGACATAATTTACTACTTTTGTAGAAAATACATATATACTGTTTAATTTTGAAAGTCCGTTGAAAAAATAAAAATATTACTTTATTGATTGACAATCCACGTAAACTATTTTTCAAACGAAACTGAAGTTGCCTCTTCATTATTGTTTTTAAACGTACATAAAAAATATATTTTTATTTTATGAAATAACACTCAATCTTTATCAATAACTCTGGTCATGATATGAAAAAGAATAATATTGATATAAATGCGGTAATGAATATGCTAAAGTATACTTGCGACCGCGATTCTCGGCGATGCCGGTTGCGAATAAACCAGAAATTATATTCTACAATTTCCACTACCAGGGCATACGCAAACACTTTCGTCAATAATTTCAAGTCACTTTAAAGTACGTCATCTGAACCATAGAGCTACAAAACAGGAAATTAATTATTATTAATAAAATTATTTATTGGCAGATTCCATTGGTGATTTTGTAATTAACATTTGATATACTGCTGAAAAAATTCGTATTTTTACGGAAAGGTTCAAGTTTTCAATCGAAACTCCATATTGTTTCAAACAATTAGACTGCATTTTTTATATCTACGTTTATAACACACATAACGTAGATCTAGATTACTGGTCGTTTTGATAAACGAATTTGTTTACTTAATCGGTGGTTGAAAACAATAATCATTAAATATTTTCATATACCTAAATGCGTTTGAATCCAAGATTCGAATTGCTCTCAGACGGACCTTTTTTCTTCTTCTTAAGAATCTAGTACGTACCCTCGCTTTGCTCGGGCATAAATTTTACACGAGATGAAAGAAATCTACATTCCCGAACATTTAACATACAGCTTTTTTTAAAACAATATGTGGTTAACACGGAATTCAGGCACGCATTTTTCGCCAAGCTTGCAGCAAAGTCATACTTTTCACACGGCATGTTGAAAGTTATAATTTTTCTAGTATCTTGTTCAGGTAGGTACATCATGATATGCTTATGCTTGCTTATAACTTGCTTATAAAAAATTTATAATCATCTCTTTCCTATATACATGCCCATAGTTTGTATCTTTTCTTCCCATCTACCAAGGACTTTTTTATTAATTGGAACAATTTAAAAAATAATTTTTTAACACAACGAAGTTATAAAAAATTAACAAAAAACATTCAAACATTAATCTACTATGCATTGAAACTTCATGTGCTATGAATAACATCGATCTTTTACTAAAAATATTTAACAGTAAAATTGCAAATAGCTATACGATGTTTATATACAATACATAAAAAAAGGCCATCGAAATTAATAATTTTATGTAAATTTATATTATCTATCAATGTTTTGTTTAATACTTGATACCATAGTACAATTTTGAAGCCATTATTTGAGCCAATGGATGTTGTAAAAACTCTTAAAGTATATGGACTCAAATTTTAATTTTAAAAATAATGGTATAAAGTGACTAAGCACAATTATATAACGCTTGCCTTTTTCTGTGACAACTTAACTCTTGCCTTCGTTGTTCGAATAACGGAAATGCTCAACTACTAAATGTTATCTAAATTAATGGTTTTTCGCAGTTATTTACTTGATCAAGAATTAGTAGGTCAATGTACTGATGTACCTGTAAAATCAAGTATACCGGTTTTAAATTATCTGGATTCCTGAGCAGCCACTTCTACTAACATGCATAAAAACCAAAAAACCCACGTTGGCGAGTCATTTCCAAGTTTGTTTAGCTGATGCTAACTACCCTAATACTTTATAAGTAAGAATTATAATATATAAAAAAAATAATTAATTATTCATTTCAGTCTTCTTAAATTTTTTATGCAATTCCTTTGGCACATGATAATTTAAAAGTTACCTGAATATATGCATATTTCAATCAATATGGAAACTCAAATCACAATAATAGATTTTATGGGACATAGTATTAATATATTAATAGATAACAGTTTATTGTACGTACTAGAACGATAATAAAAATCATATTCTCTTGTTACACGTTTTACCAAAAGTATTAAGGTGAGCATGTTTATGATGAAAGTATTCCTGGAAATATTAGAAATATAATATTCTTACTAATTTCATTTATTTCCTCTGGATCATTAGCTCGTTTTGATGGCTATGGCAATATAAGCAATGTAAAATTACACGGTATGTATGTTTATTGGATCTTGTGCGAAGAAAATGTCGGTGATTTCTCAGTGTATGAACGAATATTTTGCAATCTAGAGCTTACGGATCTATTCAAAAACTATCTCGAACTCCACCCTTATCCAAAGTCTTCAAGTCTGTGACTTAGTATGACAATAACTATAGTAACTTACGATTAATCACTATGATTATCAACATTTATAATTGCATCAAAGTTGGGGTTAATGTTAGTTAAGTAGTGTACGTATAGATCACAAGCAGTCCTTTAAATAGGTTGCTACGTTCATCAACCGTAGTAAGAAATACCACACTTTGTTCTACATTTAAAAAAAAGTACAACTTAACACTATAATTACGGATTTTTACAAAAATTTTTCAGTATACAGTTATTGACAGCGTAAAATGTCTGGACTTCAATAAGAAAGATATTTCATTAATCGAAATTGAAAATATTATTTTTTTTACAATATAAAGTTGCAATAATAATGGAACATTGAAACATTCTATTTGTTTATTACTTTTTACAGGTGTCAACAAAGTTTTAATGCAATTTATAAATACCTAGAACAAAACATATGCCGAATCAACTACCTGCAATATAATTCACTTTTACCAAAATTTTCCAGATAGACCGCAAAGAGTCAATTTGATGCATTCGGCAAGATAGTTTCAAAAGTCAACGTATATTTAGATTACGCGGTGAACGAAGTTGAGACAGAGAATTTGACCGACGGTGAATTTTTACTGTTTACTCATCTTGGCATTTGTTCTTATGTGACAAAAGTAAGGTCGGATGACGATACTGTGGAGGTATATTTCAATTGACCAGAGCATCCGAGTGCAAGACCTTATGTGCAAGCATGACCGATTTGAAAATAAATAATGATAAATACTGTAGATCTGCCCTTCATTATTTGATATCTAGGAGGATTTTATTAGAAGTGTAAATGTTTTAGCTATGAAGTTTTTTTATAAATATAGTTTCTTATTTCGACTTTTATTTATAGTATTGTTCTTTAAAATAGTCATTCTCACTAAAAGTAGCTTCAGATTTTGAGAAGTAGAATCATCGTAATTGTCACTATTATTATTTAAGTAAACGAATAAGATAAAAAATACAGTCAGCCTATTGTTCTTATGTATGTAAAAAAAATTTTTATTTTTCATGAAAGATAATTAATTAATAGAATAAGCAATAAGTTCAAAATCAAAATTTTAAGAAAATAAATTTTCTCTAGAAATCGATAACTAAGTTTTATAGTGTTTTATTTTGTACCTCCTTTCATTATCATTTCATCGTCGATTTCAAGATAATAATATTTTGCCTGAATAACATCAAGGAAAAGACTAACATCAATTTGTCTCAAACGAAATAATTCTTTATAAAAAATTCATCTAACATTTAATTTGGTAAAGAAATAAATGCGAAAATAGTAATCAATTAATTTTCGACCGGTCGGTACCAATCAGTTTTGACAGATTTCGTTAGTATTAGCTCGGATGTATTTTTGTAAATGATATATGAAACCAGCTTGGAAGCATATCCTTTCGAATGAGACTGCCCTCCATCAAATGGATTCAGCCATTCCGAAGATGTACTTGTACTGAAACAAACATGAAAATATTTAAGTACAATACAGAACCATCTATGTTTCCAGTCAGCGAAAAGGCGGATGAAAAGTGCGATCAAACTTACAATGATGTTCATTATGCAGAAAATTGAAAACCAAACGATGCCTCGATACGCAAACGTAAGAAAAACGAACTGGAGACTCGAGGCACTCCGTTTGAGCAAATCGAAAGGAAAAGTTGGTTCGAAAGGCCACCCGCGTGCTCAGGAGTGAAGCAGCATCGGTGGAAACGTGCCGCGGCTTTTTCAGCTGCAAAGGGAAATCAGCGAGTGAGAAAGACGAGCGCCTCCAGGCTCATTTCGGGCTATAACGAGCTGCTAGCAGCGCGGCGTTTTTGCCAGCGCTCGGGACAGCCGCGCAAGAGAGTGAGTGGCGGCGGCGGCGGCGGCAGCTCCGAGAAAAGCTACTTGCGGCGCACACAATGCGGGACCCGCCGCCACCGCGGGACAGCGCGCGGCCACCATCCGACCTTGAGCGGCAACAGTATTATACATATATATACTTCGCTCGGGAAATCCGAGAAATCTTTCTTCCACGTTCCGAGTGCAGAGAAAGAGATTCATTCCTCGCGCGCCTCGCTGATGTCTGCAGCCAAACGGATCTCCGATCGCTGTCACGGAATAAAGACGTGCGTCTCGACATTCCCAAGTTTTTTACTTGGTGCGTGTTGTCGCTCCTCTTAATTTCGATGAGACTTGAATGCGCCTCGTAATGAAACTGTCGGAAAAAATTGGCGCGTACGAGCTGCGCGCAGATATTCCAACTCTTTTTCGCATTCTCTGGTTTTGGCGCGACGCAGCAATTGCTCCCGTCGCGAGATCGCTGAAAGTCATCGAGTCGAGCGAGGCTCCATCTGCTAAATCAATTAGCCCAAGTTGCCAAATTGCCTAATGAAGCCGTCTGCGCGCGCGTCATCGCGGGGCAAGTTTGCAAGTGAAATTAGATGACTGAAGTGCCCGTGGCTCAGCACTGACCCGTCGTCAAAAGATGAATAAGTACAGTGATGTTTACGGGCCACTTAGTTTCGCGAGCAAAGCCCTTATTCGGTGCACAGCAGCCCCCAACCTCGGCGCCACTCGATAAAAGGGATCATCTTCTTCCCCTACCTCGCAACTTTGCCCGCAGTCCCACCTCCCTCGCGCCAACACAGCTTCTCTGCGTGTATTTACACTTTCCCCTCCGATGTTTCTCTCTCTCTCTCTCTCTCTCTCTCTCTCTCTCTCTCTCTCTCTCTCTCCCTCACTTTCTCCCCGTTATTGTGCCAATAAGCAACGGTCGATGTGCTGAGCTATGGTTTGCTCATTAGGGAAAAAAGGGAACGACGCTCTCTTTTGGAATTACGGCAATTCGTTTGTTCCCTCTCTCGTTTGCTTCTTCTTTTTTAACTCGGCGCCTCCTTCAAGACGTGATTATCGAGCAATTAATTCTCGGCCAACCCAGTTGCGCGGCTGCCGCCTGATTTTCAGGCCGCGCGAGGAGCAATATAATTGGATTTATTAGTTGGCTTGAACGACGAGGCGGCGGGTTTTGCTTATGTAACGCTCCCTGCCTGCGATTTTCGCTCACAATGAAAATTACGAACAGTCATCGCTCGGAAATTTATTGCGCGAACCTCTTTTATCGTGCACTGCGAGCGAACTGCGTCCGCGGCAAATTTTGCCGGTAGTTTTGGAAGAGAAGCGAAATTTAATCAGCACGAGTGACCGGGGCAAACTCACGTTTAAGAGGACTTTTCCGTTCCTGGGGGGTTTCGTTATAGCTACGCGTGACGAGAAAGCCGAAGGAGCTTTCTTCAAACTGGGTCCTACGTCAGTAAAAAATGACGCTACCCCCATTTCCATGTTCCTACGCGCGCGTCCAGTCATTACAGCGGTTAAAACTTTGGAAGAGATCGAGTAAAAAAGAAAAAAAAGAGTACTCGTCCGTATCGAACATGTGGCGTGAACCTTTGCCCGCGGTACATAAGCCCCTTTCGAAGCGGTCGAGCGGTGTGAAGTAGTTATTCAATTTCCACACCATCAAGAAACACTAAAGCTTCTCCCTAGGCGCAAACTTCACGGCCGATCAACGCGACTAATCCGTAACAAGAAGATGGCGAAGCAGCAGCAGCAGTAGCAGCAGCAGCAGAAGAAGCCCTTCGGAACGGCGGCGAGGGGGGATAGGGGGGAATTACCTGCCATCGCTCTCAAGCTCTCGAAGCTCACCTCCCCGCGCAGAAAATAGATAAGGACGGCTGCATTCCTTCGTTCCGCGGATGAATTATCCACGCGGCGGCGTACCTACGTCGTGTATAAATACACGGCAGCAGCCTCGAGCGGTCCTCGTGACCTTCTCTCTCGCTCTCTCCGGATTCTTTATCTGGACGGGATCTCGGCACGCGATCGAAGCATATAAAAGGCGGCGTGGGCTCCGCGCGCGTCCGCACGCAAACGCAACCGCGCCGCGCCGCGGCCCTTTCCGTCCTGACAAAAACCAGCCGCGTGCTCGGCTAAATGTCCCGCTGCTCCTCGCGTCCTCCTGCACTTCTTCCTCTCCTCCTCGGCGAGCCGCCTTGGCCCTTGCGTGCCGCCGACCGCCAGCACCGGCCCTCGTTCGGCGAGCTCATGGCGGCTCCGAGAGACGCGAGCGTGCGGTTGCCAGACTCGGATGCTTAATGTGGGAATCGTACGAGCTTGCCAGCAGAAATTGCTCTGCCATTTCACCTCCAATGATGTGGTTATCCTTCTTGTGTTTGCCGGGGATAGGCGGGCTGGGGGGCAGCAGACTCGCAATCGCTCGCCGGAGATCTCGGTAATTTAATTGTTATCGAGGCTCGCTCTCCGAGAGCAACTTTCTCGATCCGAGCCTTTTAAACCATTCAGATTTCCGTTATACGCGTCTAGTACGTACGTGCGATGGTCGTTGAACCGCGTTCTCCTTTTCGCGAGCAAAATCGAGCGCACAATTACCGACGTCAATCCAAAGCGCGTAGCGAAAAGTGAGAAAAAAAGGAACAACGAAAGCGCTCCGGCAGCAGAGGCCGCCGGATTTAGAAAGCTCTCGCGTGTGAATTGAAAACGAGGAAGACGATGTTTATCCGCGATCTCTCTTCGCGCTCGTAATAGCCGTGACGCGCGCGCGTACAGCAGTCGATGCACAACGATTCGCGAGCGATATTCGGCCTTTTACTGGCGACGAAAAGGAAAAGAAAACGCCAGCGCGCGGAGATCCCTTCTCAGCGGCGCGCGCGATAACGAATGTTTATGCAGATGTAGCCCGTTTTCACGATCTCCGATTGCTAAATCTTGGCTCTCCGCGCGCGCCCGAGGTGAATTATCGCGCGAACAAAACGCAAATGCCGAAGATACAGGTGCATTGTATGCAAATCAGTGGCGCGCGCGAGCAGCTTATTTGGTATTGATATGAAGTTTGGACGCGTCGGCGGAGAGGAATTCGCGTTTATTGCCTTCCCGTCCGCCTTCTTCGATGATTCGGCGTTAAAAGCGCGGAGCCGCGGCGAGAGATTCTTGATAAGGCGTTTGTTGTCTCTTTGACTCGTCCTTCTCAAGCGAGCGAGCGCGAAGATTAGCCGGCGCGCGCCATTGACGCTCCATTCGAATAATAGACTGGTTGGTCGACCAAAGACGACGCGGCGGACAAAGGCGATCGCGGATGCTCAGTCCTCTTGTTTTGCCCCGTGCGTAACCCGCGCGGCGCAACAGAGGTGGCCGCCTGTTCCGCTCCGAATGCCTGTAAATGGCGCGCTTCGCCCCAATTTCACGCGCGGCAAGGTCAAAAAAAATTAATCGTGTCACTTTACCGCGAAGCGCTTAGCATATCGCGCTGCAATTACGCTTGGCCAGCTGCAATCACGCCGTTATTAAAATGCGATCGCTGCCAAATTATACAGCACTCTTGGCGTGGTAGTGAAGGCACGATGCGAAAAAAGTTGCCCAATTTGGAGGAGTTGCTCTCTCTCTCACTCTGCAAGAGGATAACACGTGGCGCGAAAAGAAACCGGTTAGCTAAGCGCGAGCAAATATGACTAGGTCGGGCTTGTTTTTCAGCGAGCTACATCGTATCAGACTGCTGCGCAGTTTCGTAATCGCGCGCGTCATAGCGCAAAACGTGTAATTGTACGCCACCCGCCTGCCCGCTTTAATACGCGAGTGCGACAGCTGTAGATGTGCGGTTTGTTAGCGATTGTGGCTTCGTGCGTTTTTTTTATTCTTTCTCTCTCTCTCTCTCTCTCTCTCTCTCTCTCTCTCTTCCATGTACGCTTCACTTGCTCTCGCGAGCGCGTATTATAGACACGCAGCTGTGTGGCTGCTCGCCTTGGATCGACTTCGCTGATAAGTATCTTCGAGTAGTTTCGAGGTTTCTAAGAAAATTATGATCGTTAGAATTCTTCTTTTTTTTTCTTTATTGTCTTCGTCTGCGCGACGTCTCTTTCGAATTAAAACTCGAGTGCGCAACACGCGTTGAAAGGTTGCGTAAATGAAGCTCCATTTGAATGCTGAATAGCGCTATTATACTTGAAAATGTAGTCGCTCTTATTTACCGAGTATCGATAGAATAGCTTTTATTTGTCAAGGGAAAAGTAACTCGGCAGTCAGAAGGTCACGCTAATTATGGTGAACCAGCTGGTAGGAAAAAAGTGAGAAAGTGCAGAGGGCAAGTTTGCGTGTAATTTTGGCAAAAACGTCTGCTCTTATACAGCATTAGCGGTATTAGCTTGCCACGTATGCACTTGTTTTTGCAGTCGACAAGTTTGCTCTGGAAAAAAGATAGGGCTTTTCAAGGAAGCCATCGATTGAATAGTGCCGCCAATACATCGTACATGGGCAACGATATAAGTTGGCGCTCCAACTGATACGAAAACACGTTTACCGAGTACATTTCATTTTGCAGAGGAAAGATGCAGGTCGGTCGTGGCGCGAGGGCTCGGAGAGCTACATCCGAGGCGCGCTCCGGCAACAAGCGGCGTCGAAAAGAAAATAATCCCGGCCTCTTATCGCGGCGAATCCAAATAGAGTCGGAGCCTTGGAAGAAAATAAAGGAAGGTGAGCTTGGTCGTCGTCGTCGTCGGTGGTGGTGGCGGCGTCTTCGACAAACAGCGGAGAGAAAGAGTGGAGCGAGCCGGTGGCGTAGGATCGCGCGCGAGAACGACGGGCAAGAAGGGGGTAGCCAAGCGGAAAAAAGGGAGGGTCGCGCGCCTCGTAGATTGCGGTTGAAATCTAGGGTAGGCTTCGCTTTCTCTCTCTCTCTCTGTGTTCGTCGACGGACGTGCGCACCCGCGAGGGTGACAAGGTGACACTTGTAAACACGAGCAACTACACTGCTTCTACGCGGAACGCGAGTCGGGGAAGGGGCAATTTGGTTCGCGCTATGAATAAATTACAGCGCCGATGAAATTCAAAAAAGTGTCCGCTCTTCCACGGAGAGAGAGAGAGAGAGAGAGAGAGAGAGAGAGAGAGAGAGAGAGAGAGAGAGAAAGTAAGAGTGCGCGCCAGCCGATCGGACGAAAAAGAAATCTGCTTAACGAATCCGCTCACCGGCGGAGGACGGCGGGAAGGAGAGAGAAAGATCCATCTCATCCCTGATGCGCACGGCTCGCGTATTATCCCACTGATTATAACCGCTCGAGAGGAGCGCACACGAACGCACGCGCACTCGAGCCTCTTTCTCTATAATTTGGCCATTTGGGGCCATTACCGGTGCCCTGGCGGCGCGCGAGCGCTAGTTCTCTCTCGCTCTCTCCCGCGGTACCCCTCCAGGGACCTTTTTCCCTTTTTCTTTCTTTATTTTTTCTCTCTCTCTCTCTCTTTTTTACGAGAACACAATGACTGCGCAGCTGCCCCCGTGACACGCGCCGGCGGCGGCGCGCGCACGCGCGTTTTCTTGCAACGCGCACCCGTATATATACGTACGGTGTATCTGCCGTGAATGCCGCACGCGGTCGTCGCGTTCGTCGCCCCCGCGCAGCTAGCGCGCGAGCCTAATTTCTCGATCCAAATTGACTTTTCTACGTATTAGCCGGCGCGCTCTCGTCCCTGTAGGGGCGCGCGCGAGTCATCGCGTCGATGAAATTCAATTTCGATCGTGCGCGGAGGAGGAGCCTGTGTCGCGATGGGCACGCGACGCAATCCAATAAATCGCGGCTCAAGCCTTGATGAGACCATATGTCGCATAGGAGGAATGGAAAAGAAAAATAGCCGGCGAAGAAAATCCTAAATAAGAGCGAAGAAAGCATACGGAGATATAATATAAGCGGTCTATTCCCAAACGTCGTGCGCGTACACATATTTACGCGAGGCTGCGCGCAAGAAGTGGATTATATACGGGCGTGTGTGCGCGCGCGCGCGCGCGTGTGTGTGTGGCACGATGCGCGAGGGTTCGGTTTATAAGGGTCCCAGCGGACTACGTACTGGCCGCGCGAGTGCGTATACGTGGCATAGAGGTATGATTTGGTATTCGGGCGCGCAGGCCAACGGCGACAAATTAACGGGCGTCCATATCTCCGACGTCTATCGCGGACTGTTGCGCGCGCACGTGTGCGTGTGTCATTGAGAGCCGGCGAATGAAGGATGAGAGCGAGAGTATGTATAATAAGCGATTCGATCCTTAAAGCTCCTCGCTGCGGCTCGGCTGGCTTGTGCGAGTCGGCGGCGGATTAGGCCACGAGCCGGGGATTCTCCGCGGCTGCGGAATTTTGCTCGATTGGCTCCGCCGCCGTCCCGCCGCTCGATTAGCCTCGCCGTTTGTTCCTCCGCCGGGCAGCTCCGTGCGCTTTATTGAGTCGTCGACGTGGAATTGAAACAAGCGCGCGCGCACCTTATCGCTCGCCTCGTATACGCGCGAAACGCTTTAGTGGCGCGACGACGGAACAGCGCGGATGAATTACCGAATTCGAGAGGGAACGAAACGGAGAGCAGGCGCGAGTTGCGTCTCGACGCGTCCGAGAGCGAAGGGGCCCCCTGTGCGTCTCTAATGATGAGCTGCGAACGCGCGCGAGATCCTTCGCAATTACGCGCGACTTGTACGGTGGCGGCAGCGGCGTCAACGGTAAAGCGGCCTCCTTTTAGTCTTTCTCTCTCTCGCACTGGCAGCGCGACACACTAGGCTGCAAGGACTCTGCCGAGTTTTGCAGAGTGCGAAGTGCCGGAATGTCAACCGGCAAATAACAGGATAGCGCGCGCATAATTTACGAGGGCCCGCAGCCGCGTTGCGCGAACGACGGCCCACCTTGGGTGAACATGGCTGAAAAGGAAGAGAGAGAGAGACAGACAGACAGACAGACAGAGCGTAAAGGGACGAGCGGCGGGGGGAGCGAGCCTTTGGTGCGCGCGCGCGAAGACAGGAAGAGGCACAGCGGAGAAAGAAAGAGAGTGGCCTCGACGGAAAAATGTCTTAATGAAGACGCTCGAGCCGCCTAGCCCGTGACTCCAGCGATTGTGTGACTGCCGGCCATTCAACGCGCGACGCGACTCTACCTACGCTCATCAGATACCGAATCGCGCGAGTAGCTAATGGATAGTAGGCGAGCGCGCTCCCTCGATCCTACGCTAACTACGTACTTCGCTCGAGCCGCTTTCCGTCCTGTTTCCCAGAAAATTGAAGACAACGCCTAGTTCAGGAGTGCCTTTTTTACGACAATTATGCCGTGACAGCTGTTCAATCTCGAGGTGATTTCTCTCGTGTTCGCGTCGCTCTATTGATAGACTGCTCATCGGCCAAAGGAGATTCGTAAGATCATCGTCGTCGCGCCTGACAAGACGTACTACCAACTTTGCTTCAGCCTTGAGCTTACTTCGTCGGAGTTGAAATTGAAAAACTCCGCGGGGATAGCACGCGAAAACGAAGCGTGCCAATCAGCTGGAGGCTGATCCTTGACGAAACGACTGTCAAAGAGTCGGGAAAAATGCCTCCTTGCTCGCTCCACGCTGTGCAGCGGAATAAAAGCGAGCCCGCGCCGCTCGCCGAGAGCGAGAGAGAGAGAGAGAGAGAGAGAGAGAGAGAGCGGGAAAAAAAAACGTCACGTAAGTTTCGTTCGCAATAGCGCGAGACGAATATTACATAAAACAAACGGCAGCGACGCAACCACTCGTCATTACACACGAATCTGTGCTGCTGCGCGGCGAAAAATAAGGTGTGCTTGCGTGCGTAACTCGCTCTACCGCTCACTCGCGACGACGCCGACGACGACGACGACCGCGTGCGAGTATTATTATAATACGTCAGCGGGATGAGCGACGGAGAGAGAGAGAGAGAGAGAGAGAGAGAGAGAGAGAGAGAGAGAGAGCCAGTCACGTCGAGGATATATGATTTCTCGCGGCCTGCGTCACCGGACACTCGCGTGAAAATCTAGCCATTATAAAGACCTCGCCGCGACAATTTTATCTGTCGTCTTCGCAGCGATGCATAATCCCGCGGCGAATACCAATCTGCCTTGCTTTCTCAGCTGCGAGCTAAGCGTGTGGACCGATCAATCACGGGACGCCGACGAGTCGTCAAACATTGCCGCTCGCTGTGGCCCAAACGCGCCCGAGAACCATTATGCGTCCTCTCTTCCCTCTCGCGCTATAATGGATGAAAGAGGAGTCTCTGACAAACAGCGACCGATACTTCTCTCGTCGCGGAGACTCGTTGATGGATCGATTGGCGCGCCTCTTGCCGCGCGAATGTCGCGCTTTCGCCCCCCCCCCCCCGCCGTCTGGCTCCACCAGTTTTCCAGCGCTACGGAATTTTCAATTGCGAGGAAATTCGGCGCCTCGACAAGTCAATGCACGATCGCTGCAATTCGAGAACTCGAATAACGTGCTCGTCAAACAAAGCATCCCCGAGACAATGCAGCGACCCCATCGATCATAAGGCATTCCTGAAATATCAGCACGCCAATTACTGCACCGGACCGAGTAAAAAAGCGAAGGAAGCACAAGCGAGATCAATAAAAAGATAATAAACTCTTAGCGCGAGAGAGAGAGAGCAGCGAAAAGGCTGTCGAGAGC